GCTTCCCCCTTTCCCCGCCTCTTCTTCCGAGTTTACTTCTTTCCTTTCTCCGACTGTGTGTGGATTGAGAACGCTTCCGACTTTATTCTCTGAAACCTCGCAGATGGTGGCGTTCAACGACAAAACATCGCCAAAGTCAGAGAGGCATTACGTGAGTCCACTTTCCAGATCATCGTCGCAAGGGTTTCTGTGCTTCCTTTCCCCCCGATCTCCAAGTGACTTCAATTGACATCCTTACGGAACAAGACTACATTCATGCTTCTTCACATTTTTTTCCATCTTCACACCTCTTCTTCTTCCTGTCTTGACTGGAACAGGTCGATGCTGCAGAGCCAAACTCTGTCATGGTCATAACGGCGCCAGAGGGTGAGTGGAGGCGAGACTGTCATATTGGTTTGGGATCAAGATGGGAAGAAGTGTGCGTGAATAGGTCGGACGTTTGCATTGGACAATCTCTCAGCTCGCACCCAACCCCCCCTCCCCCCCCCCTCTCTTCCCTCCCTTCCCCCGACCTATGATTGGACAGGAACTCGCTCTGCTATCTGGGGTGGCCTCATGACAGCCCGAGCCCAGTTTTTAGGGGTTAAAGGTGTAGTCCTTGATGGTAGGTGCAGGGATCTTCAGGAACACAGGGATGCCAATTTTCCCGTGAGTTGCCGAAAGGAGCCGTCTTGGATTGGGGACTAGGGTCGAGCGCTGAAGTTCGCCTTGACCCACCGTATTCCGCTGCCACTCGCCGCTCTGCCCTCTTCACCCCTTCTCCTTCTTTTCGCCATTTCGTGTTTTTGTGTGTGTGTACGTGGGGTGAGGGGACTTCTTTTGTTTTTAGGTGTTTGCCCGAGGCCATTCGACTCTTGGGCAGAACCCTTTCACTCGTCAGTCCGAGCTTCAGGTCCCCATCACAATCAGCGACCCAACGGGAGGGAACCTGGCAACGATCACCATTCATCCGGGCGACATTGTGATCGCCGACTTGGACGGTGTGGTGGTGGTCCCACCCGGGATCGCGGAGGAGGCGATCAGGATCGCCGAGAAGGGCAAGAGGGAGGACGAGCTTTGCATGAAGGATCTCAAGGCTGGCAAGGGTGTCAAGGAGACATTCGCGACAAGGAGGACCAAGTGAGGGGGCGAATCAAATCTAAAAGTCACAGCTCCCGCCAACTCTTGAGACTCTACAAGGGTGGAACGGATGGTAGGCGGAAGAGAGGTTTTGGTTGGTGGAGTGAATTCTTAAAATGATAGAATGAATCAACCATCCCAATCAGACCAACGTGGTCAGGTCGCGGCAAAGGTGTGTGTAAGAGAAAAGCAGGAAGTGAGGGGAGTGAGGGAAGGGAGGGAGAGAGAAAGGCGCGATACGCGGTCATGAAAAAAAGAGTGCTGGGGTTTTCGCCGATGGAAACCCCCGATCACGAGTGAGCGCGTGAGGACTGGAAGAACATGACTTGCGAGCGAGCCGGACTGGGAAAGGCGCTGTCTGTCAAGCTCCATGCTAGCCTTCTGCTAGCCTTGCTCCATGGATGGCGAAGGAGGCAGAGAGGGAGGGAGGGAGGGAGGGGAGAGAGAGAGAGAGAGGCGAGCTCACCCTTTGCTGACTGCAAAGGTTGAGGTGAGTGTATGCGGTTGCAGGGAGAAAAGAAGAGGAAAAGAAAACTCGACATCAAAATCGAAATTTCATCGTATCGCGCTTTCTGCTGCATGGCGCCGACTGCACAACACACACGCTTTGGCCAGCCTGAGGTTGAGAGGGTAGGGATGGAAGCGAGGCGAGTGAAAAACTGCTCACTGACATTCACGCTCACACTCCCAACTCACACTCTCTCTTTTGGCTTGCGGCTGGAGATACATATGGACCTGGTGAGCTGTTAGCATTCGCAGTCCTGAATCACAGTCACAGTCGCAGTGTGAGCCGTGAGAAGTGACGATTGAGCTCCGGTGAGAGCAGGTGTCGATTCTTTCTTTTGGAGAAAGGGATCTGAAGTGATTCAGGGTGGCTCTCTCTGATGATAAACTCTGATCAGCAGCATCCCTGCCTACCATCTCTCTAGCTGCCCTTGCTTCCCTCCCAACTTCCCCTTCCTCGATTCTCCTGTCCCCGCGCCCCCCTCCCTTCTGCATCAAAACATCCCTTCTCTTCCCCTCCCTTCTTTCCTCCTACCTACCACCTTCAATTGCACAACCCCCTCCTTAGCAGGTAGCATTCGCAAAAGATGTTCGCCCCTCTCCGACCGGTCGCTTCCTCCCTCCTCAGACAGGCCGCCAAGCCCGTCCTCACCCGGGTCCAAGCTCCACTTGGCCAGCCGCTTCGTGCCTTCTCCTCCTCTAGAGTCGCGCTCGAGATCAAGACGCGGTATACTGCCGAGCACGAGTGGGTCAAGTTTGATGACGCTACCAACGTCGGCGTCATCGGTATCACGGATCACGCCCAGCACAGTCTCGGAGAGATCGTCTTTGTCGAGCTCCCAAGTGAGGGCACTGAGGTCAAGCAAGGAGGTGAGTAGCACGTCCAAATCGTCTCCTTCGCAACTCTGGCCAATGCCTACTCGACTCTGGAGAATCCCGGCTTTGCCAATGGACTTGTCATCTGCCATGTATGCTGAGCATTCCCCTTTTTGCCTCCCTGTCCGACGACCAACCATTGGTCCACAGATCAAATCGGCGCTGTTGAATCTGTGAGTGTCGCCAACTAAAAAAAAAAAAAAAAAAAACCCAGTCCATTCAAGCCATCTCGGCTGCCTTCTCTCTCTCTATCGTTTGAAACCCTGGATCTCTTCTAAATCGCTCTTCTTACCTTCCCAACTTTAGGTCAAAGCTGCCTCGGACATTTACTCACCAGTCTCCGGCACCGTCGAGTCTGTAAATGCCAAGCTTGGCGACCAGGCAAGCATCCTCAACAAGAGCCCAGAAGCCGAGGGTGAGCTCCAAGCCAGTTATCCCATCATGAACACTCAAATCTCGCTTCTTGAAAACTGATTTTCATTCTCTAACTTGACTCGATTTTCAACCCTATCGACTCTCGTTCGCAAAAATAAAAATAAAAATAGGATGGCTCTGCAAGATTCGCCTGACAAACCCTGCCGAGTTCGAAACCTTGCTCACCGAGGAGGCATACAAAGCCGTATGTGAGGAATGATGACTGGCGATGGGTTTGATTCTGGCGATTGGTCCTGGAAACTACATCCGGGAAAGCGGCAAAACGCTTCATCGAAGGTTGTTATGTAAAATAGGTGTTCGGCTCGGATCGGAGGATGAGAATCGTCGCAATGAATCGTCGAATTACTTTGAATACCTCAACGCGGGGAGAGGATGATGCCCCGTCTCTTCCAGATGAGATTTCTGACCTTTATCCATCGGAGAGTACCCCTACCTCTGTGTCGTTACTCTCGCTCATTCCTTCCTTTCCGAACCCACATTCAGCCCAGAACTACAGTCGGAAGGAGCGATGACTTGTCGAAGAGGAATAAAGTCTAGTCAAATTCCAAGTTGCGCCCAGGTTTGTCAAAGGCTCGACATTGATGTAAGAGGCTCCGCTTCCTTCTCTCTCTCTCTCTCTTTCTCTCTCCCGCTCTTTTTCTTTCTCATTCTCTCATTTGGCGGTCTTTAAGGCTTCACCCCATCCCAGCATTTCGAATTCTTTCCAATCGACAAGGGCTACTTCCACCTCTGCATCGACGAACGGATAGGACTGGTTCCTTCCTCGCTAACATTCCCCTTGAACAAATCAGCCTCGACTGAGAGCAACCTCTCTCCAATGCGTTATACCTTTTCACATCTCACGCTCATCTTGATAAGCGTCATTTTGGTGGGGAAATCCGAAACTGCCCCCGTCAAAAACCTTTGCAAGGAACTGGGAAGTCAAAATGTTGGAGTCTCCAGGCTAAGCGAATCAAAGCACTGGGTTCATCGAGGCCACGTGGCGAGACATCACTGTGATCACGAGAAAGATAAAAACAAGAGCAAGAGGCACCACCAACACCAACACAAAGGTCAGAACCTGGAGCACGGGCACAAGAGTGAGATAACAAAACCTTCGAAGATGGGGGAGGGACATCCAGACTTGTTGACAAAGGGGAGAAAGGCTCGCAGAGACGGGGGCAGCGGAACGAACGTCGGAATTGGGACCGAGCTGAGAGGAGATCCCAACTTGCTCAAAAGGCTGCTTCAGGACAGCATCTCTGGTGCATATGCGGCTGGGAAGGTGTTGAAGAGGGAGACACTAGGTTGGAACGAGGAATCGAAACAGGGGATCATCAGATTAAAGAGGAGGAAGACGACCAAGGTGAGGGGAAGGATGAGGGTATGAGGATCAAAACCTCGCCTTTCCCTTTGGAGCACTTTCTCTTGGAGATTATAAATGCGGGGGTTGAGGCAAGCCACCAACCATTGCTGGCTGCGAAAAGACTCGGGAACGAGTCGACACAAAAACAGGAGAAAAACGATGCGAATGAAACCAAAACCAAACCCAATCCCTTGGGATCACGCACTCTCCTTCCTGCATTTTGAAAGGCTTCCCGGACGAAGAACCAAAGAACATCAGATCTACTGGAAAGGAGAGAAGAACAGACACTTCCAGCGACAGAGTTCGAACTGATTGGGGTCGCGATGTCGTACTTACGGGGCTGACAGGGAGGGAAGGTCCTCGAGGTTGGGGGGGCTCTCTGGTGTGGAAATGATGGGAGCCTGCACACCTGAGCATGCCTTCACTTGCGTGTATGGTGTGTTAGTACAGCACATATACAGAACAACTTTCCTTCAGACCCTGCAACATTCACAGTCAGTAGTTTCGTACCCTTTACCCAGGCAATGGATGGCCGATCGAATCTAACGACCTGGGCAGTTATCACACCAACCACAATTACCTGTTCCCAAGAAAAATTGGTGAATAGGATAACAAAAGTAGGGAGAAAAGTGCAGGAGGAAGTAGTGAGGGGGAAAGTTTCTCTGGCTCCTTGGTGAAAAAGAGTTCTTTCCATGTGTGGGTAAACGGTGAAAAAAGAGAATTCCCTGCCGGGGAATTGAACCCCGATCTGAGCAGTGGTCTCTAGCTATGAGAGTGCCCTATACTAGCCATTGTACTAACAAGGACTTCACATCTACCGATAGCTGTACTTGTAACATAATATTATCCTAGCCAGGAATTCTAATGCCATGTGGCCAAAGCGTAAGATGGGACCTCCACCGGGCAATTGATTATAAGATGAATCCGATGGAGAGGAGAGACGGACGACACCATCTCGGACGACACACAGGCATCCACGGTTGGCACCTTTCCACGTCCACATCACGTCCTCCCCATCCCATACCTTCGCAGAGCATCGCAGAATAGTAATCACCCATCCCAGAGTCTCGAAAGGAAGCAAAGTCAATTATCAGCGAGGAAGAAGGAGAGCAGAAGGCAAATCCCCCTAAGGTCCCGCCCATGGACGATTCGCCCAACCATTCCCTATTAGATGACCTTCAGGACCAAGGCTACGACGCCTCCCACATTCCTTTTGAATCCCGCAAAGCCCTCTCCCTGTCTTCGGAACAATCGGAAGGGATCGACCACCCTCTTTCACCCTCATCCCACCCGAGAGGGAATGATTTCAATGAACAGCTAGCAGAGTATCGGAGGCGGAAGGCAGAGGTCGATGAGGACGGAAGGATGGAAGCGGACCGACAAGAAGAGCCCAGGAACGAACGCTACTCGTCGGACGGAGGGTCGTCCTGGATCTCGGAGGAGAATGATGAAGACGAGCCGCATGAGTCATGGATGACTGGTTCGGATTCAAAACCTGACCAGAACCCGAGTGGCGAACAGGTTGAAGAGGATCGAAAATCTGAGAGTGCAACACCGTCGAACCTTCCTCCTCCGCCATCCCAAACACAGCAGCAGCACGGGCTCGGTCCGGAGGAAAACAGCGAGGATCTGGCAATATGTAGGATCTGCTTTGATGGTCCGGGAGCTAGCGAAGACGGTGGAGAGAGCCTGGGAAGACTCTTGAGCCCTTGCAGATGCAAAGGCACCATGAAGGTGAGCACAGGACTTTCCATCCTCCTCAGCTTGCACATTTTTTTTTTAAATCTCTTTTGATCTTTTTCATGTTCTTGCATCTTCAAATCATCTCACTCGTTCCCCCTCCTTGCCCTTGCCGAATCACGAACAAAAAAAAGTATGTCCACGCAACCTGCCTCGATCGATGGAGGGCATTGTCTTCCCGGAACTCCTCTGTGGTGTCTTGCGACCAGTGTGGGGCGCCGTACAGGTTTAAGAAATCCCGTTTCGTCGGTTTGGCAACCTCTCCCACTCTGCTTTTCGTGGTCAGCTTGGCTGTCTTCCTGACGCTGATTTGGATGGTCGGATTCCTTGCGGGTGTCGTGCTGGAAAGGTACGACAAGACGCACGCTTCGGCCATGCCACCAGTGGACGGCGGTGCGTACATGCGGAATGCGTACGTGGATACGCAAGCCAGAGAGCCTACCTCCGGCGGGGGGCTATGGAGGTGGTTGAACTCGGATCCCGCGGAACGTGGCTGGGACTACGATGCCGAGAGAACATGGGATCTGGGTGGGGCGTCTTACACCTCATACTGGGGTTATGGTGGTATCTACTATGAGCCTGCAGCCTACTTGAAGCTGATCAAAGAGGCAGTCAGGCAAGTCATCAGTGGGGAGGCGACGGTAGCCGTCAAGGAGCTCGTCGGTGTCGTCAGCAGCGGCACTGGGAGCGATCCGGATCCTTCGAACGTAGTTCGAGACAGCCATCCACACGAGCAGTCCGTCCAGGCCCTTCCCGAGCAACCGGAACCTGTGCAAGAAGGCGAAGGCGAGGAAACACTGGACGCAGGCTCGTCCGACGTTGAACCAGGGTTCTGGGGTACATTGTTGGACGAATGGAAGTATGGGAAGGGAGGCATTTGGGAAGGGCAGAGGCCGAAGGCAGAAGAGGAACAGGATGAGGTTGGCACCAAGCGACTCGAGCCAGATACCGGGAAGACGAATTCAATCGCAACAGAAAAAGGAGCCGATTCCCCCTCCCCTTCCAAGATCCACTCGGAGAAATACGATGCGCGACTTGCAGGTCCTTACCAGGCGAAGCTCAGGCTTGAAACAGAACGCAGATCCACGGTCCGATCTGCCGCGAAGCAAAACCAAGACAAGCTCACCAACCCAAAGGGGAGTTGGATCGACAGGATCCTCCTGCAATGTGAGTCATGCCGAGGCCTCAAGAGTTGTTGAAAGAGAAAAGGATTCTAGAATCGTACATGCTGACTCCGATTGCGTCTTTCCTCCAACTCTCTTTTCTTTCCCTCTTTCCCCTTCGTCCTTATTTCTTTTCTTTTTCTTTTTCTTTTTCCGGGGGGCGGTTCCTTTGGTTCCACCGCCGACAGTCTCCTTGGGATTCTCGCTCGTTGGCATCGTCTCCTTCGTCAACCTCCTGCTGGGTGTTTCTTTTCTTGGTCCCTTCAACCTCCACAACTTTGGCCTTGGTCGGAGTTTCGCAAGGATGACGGGGGGCGGGAGGAGAGGCGCAGGTGGCGGAGGACAAGGTGAGGGTGGCGGACTGGCCAGCGTCCTCCTCCTGCTCCTGGTCGTCATTGGCATCGTCAGGGCTCTGACTCTGGTTTACAAGGGCGTCAAGGCCCTCTCGAGGAGGTTTCTATCGCGTTTGGAGGCTGCCATTGTCGATTGGCACGGCGAGGATGAGGAGAACACGGCTGCTGCTGCTGCTGCTGCCACTAGCGCTACGCGTGGAGCTGAGACGCTCGTTCAAGCCGAGGAACGAATCAGGGAGGAGAGGCAAGTCGCTGCCCTGAGGGCTGGCGTCGGCATGGACGAGCTCCGTGCAAGGGGAAGATGGAGGGCGGGAGGGAACGATCTCGACCAAGATCACATGGAGGATGACGACGACGATGACGACATCTCCGAAGATGAGCTCTTCGGTGGTCAAAGGAGGAGAGTGGAGAGGAGGAACTTTGGCTGGATGATGGCCAGAGCTGGCGATTGACCCTTTCCCCCAACCCCTCTTTCATCGTCCTACGAGACGAAGAAAACGTGTGTTAGTCCAATGCCAACATTCTTTTGTCCCCAATTGACCCCAACTCGAACGTTTGGACTTTTGTCTCCCTCCTCTGAGCGAGCGAGAACGAAGGGAGAGTGACGAGCGCGCCCTATCGAAATCCCGTTTCCAGCCTTGAGACCATTTTGGCCATCATGCTTTGACCGCAACCGAACGCGTGGCCTGGTTGCCCTCTCTTTTCGAATTTTCCTTTCCTTTCCGACATCTTGTCGAAAGGGATCTCGATCGTAATAGTACATGGGTGAGGAGTTGCGTGCCTTGTCGCCGTCCTTGATCTCAAGCAGCAAGGTTGATGGTGTTAGAAGAGTCAAAATAAAAAAGGAAATCAAGATCGATCGACTCGAGGGAATCGGGATCCGGTCACTCGTCGTCCTCGTCGTCGGACCACTCGTCATCCTCGAGCACCTTGACCATGTAAGGTCCCTCGAGGTGGTAGCCCAGCCTTCGGTAGTAGTCACGCGTGCCGACGCCGGAGATGACGGCGAGCTTCTTGCTCCCGTGCTCCTCCCTGGCGATCTTCTCGGCCTGCTCCATGAGCAAGGTGCCGAAGCCCTGGTGCTGGAAGTTGGTCGGGTCGCGCGTGTGGAGTGGGACGGCGGTGCCGTACGTGTGGAGCTCTCGGATGATGGAACACTGCTGACCCACCAGCTCGGGTCGGAAGGTGCCCGAGGCCGAGCATTTCCTCAGCCTCAGCAGAGCGACGAGGATGTCGAGCTCCGGGTCCTCGTAGGCCAGGAACGTCTCCCAACCTCCGTTGGCCGTGTAGTCGCGCCTGATGAACTCGACCTCCTGCGGCCTCACCTTTGTGTGGATCTCGTGGAGCCCGACCTCTCGGTACCTGACGTCTCGACACGTGACGCCAAAGTCCTTCATCCTCTCCAAGGCCAGCTCCCTCAGGTTGCCGTTCTCGACTCCCGAAGAGACGAGCGGCATGGGGATGTCCCTCTGGACGCGGTAGACCCTGGTCCAGGGTGGTACCAGCGCCAGGATGCGCGCCACCAGGTCGACCAGGAAGGAGGGCGTGTAGTTCCTGTACCTCCCCGTCCTCCAGAGCTCGTAGAGCCCCGTTCCACGGATGACGAGCGTTGGGTAGAGCTTGAGCCCGTCGGTCCTGAAGGCAGGGTTCTCAAAGTACTCCTTGAACTGCTCCATGTCCCTCTCGACGCCCACGTTGGGCAGGTCAGGCATCATGTGCGCCACGATCTTGTAGCCGGCGTCCTTGGCCAGCTGGAACGTCTCGCAAACGGCCTTGACGGTGTGGCCACGGTTGGTGTCCCTGGCGACATCCTCGTAGACGCTCTGCACGCCGATCTCGAGCCTGGTACAGCCGTAGCGAAGCATCTGGGAGAGGTGAGGTCGGAGGCAGTAGTCGGGCCTGGTCTCGATGGTGATGCCGATGCATTTGGTCTGGGCTCTCTCGGAGTACTTGACGGCCTCGTCGACGTCGGTGCCGGTGAAGCCGCTGAGGGCGTTGTGAAGCTGGGCGATGAACTGGCTCCTGTACTCTTCCGACAGGCTCATGAAGGTGCCTCCCATGATGATGTACTCGACCTTGTCCACGCTGTGGCCGAGCTCCCTGAGCTGCTGCACCCTCCCCTTGCTCTGCTCGTATGGGTCGTACCTCGCCCTGATCGCCCTCATCGAGGTGGGCTCGTAGCCGGTGTAGGACTGGGTGCTGTACTCGAAGTCCGAGTCAGGACCCCCCGGGCAGTAGACGCAGATGTTGCCCGTCAGAGCGATGTGCGGGCACCGGTGAGGCTTGCACATGACGGCGACGACGGCGATCCCGCTGGCGGACCTGACCGGTTTGGCCTTGAGAGCCGGGACGAGCGCCTTCCTGTATGCGTCCGGGATGGCGGCGATGATGTCGGTCAACCTTGGAACACCACCGTAGCCATGCTTCTTACAGGCCTGTCCACGAACGTAGTTGAGCGAGACCGGCTGCGATTGATCGTGGGCTTGGACCAGCTGGGAGGCGATGTCGGCGCACACCCTGAGAAGGAGCTCTGCCGAGGTGGCCGACGCG